AGAATCAATCAAAGAAGGGTTCTCAACATATAAATAGAGTGCACAAACAATATACATGCTAGGCCAAACTATTGGCAAAAGAAACAACATGCAATAGTAGTACCAAGTCAGTAGATAGCAAGTATTCAAAGCATGATAGTCAAGTAGGTCTCATTGAATCAGTAGTGAAGAAAATAAAGTGTCAGAAGCATGCAAAGGGTCTCACAGCATAGTCGAGTTTCCCAGAATTGGAGGAATCACATAAAGGGAAAAAGATGCTTCAAATCAAGTAAGGCATTTAAACGAGCAGTTTCAACTCAAAGACATATGTTTTTCTTTTAAGAATATTCAAGCTTAACATATGATAAGCGGATAAATCAAACAGACATTAGCAAACAATTTGAGAAACTCGAATGAACCCAAAAGAAAGTAGGGTTTTCAACACCAATCGAGTTTAAAGCTGGTAAACAAAGTAAATCAGATAATATTTAACAAGATAGTCTCAGAAACTCGAATAGACCAAAAGAAATTAGGGTTTTCAACACCAATCGAGTCTGGAGACGATAAACAAGTAAATCAAACAAACACTAACAAATAGTCTCAGAAACCCCAAAAGAAATCAGGGTTTTTATCATGCTAAACTCAGAAAAAGATTTTGGAAAGAAGGACTTGAAAGAAAACCTTAATTGGAAAAAGATGAAGAGTCTTTTTTGAAAGCAAAATTAAAGAAACCTCGAGAAGCATTAAAAACCCATAGCAAGCGTGGATCAAAAGTGAACCTGAAAGGAGCCGAAGAGTTCTTAGAGACTAGGGTTTCAGAAGAACCCCAAGTGACGAGAAAGGCCTTGAAAACCATCGATCTAAACAGGAGAGTCAAAGGTCTGACTCGAGTGGCCATGGCTGGCCAGAGAAAGGTCAGAGACGATCGGAGAACAGTCATCGAGCGAGGATTGGACCAATCCCGTTCAGAATCTGGTCATGAGACCACATCAACAAGCACATAGAAGCTATATGAGGCTGATACAGGTCTTAGGCGACCTTGGGGAGCCATGGATTAGGGTAGATTAAAGAGGCGGTGGCTAGGGTTTGATATTGTTGTAGAGAGGATTTGAGAGAGGAGGGGAATGCAGAGGCGGCGTAGGGTAACAAATAAAAGGGTTGGGGGGGGGGTAGTTGGGAATTAATTTAGGTAAGGGAAATTTTTTGCCGTTGATCTAAGTGATCAACGACTTGGATTGAACGGGTAAAGGGGCGGTTTAATGAGACCGGGTTTGGGTCGGGGTTTTGATAGGATTTGGGCCAGGGTGATTGGGGTTCAAATTGGGCTATAATCGAAATAAGATGGGGCTAACATTTAAATAGCCAACTTTTCCTATTTGATTTATAAAAAATAATAAAACAATTTCTGGAAATAAAATGGTACTAAAATGATTTATAGTACATGATTAATTATTTAAAAATACCAGACTAATTTTATGAATATAAAACACAGTTAAATCTAGAAAGGGGCTAATATTGCAATTATATAATTTTAGCCTTAAAAATACTAAATAATTTTTGTAAAAATGTGCAAAAATTACCTTAGCTACATCTTAGCATAAATATAAACTTTCAACAAAGGAATTACCAAAGTAATAATTTTAGAGCAATTATTGGATTTTTTATGGATAAAACAGGGGAATAAATTGATTTAAAAAATCCGTTAAAATTAAGAAAAAATAAGAAAACATTTGGATATGCTTATATATGCATACATATGCTATTTGAAGGTAATTTGCATATTAAAATATACATAGGAAAAAATTGGGTATCAACAATGCTCCTATTAAAATTAAAGTCCCTGAAGGATAGAGTTTATTGTACGCATGAAGCGTGGTAGACCAATCGGTTCCAAAGGTAACAATCCTTGAAAAATTATGGGAGCTAATGATCAAAATGATCATAATGAGGAGGAAATGAGCTCTAGAAGAGCCCACGACATAATATTTCATGAAACTCCAGAAGAAGTTCAGGTACTTAAAAATAAAGAAAGTGATGAGATCTCAACAAGTTATGTCGATTAGGAACCGATACAAAATGATCGTCGACGATATATTTGATACAATATAGTGCACTATATTGTAAAAGATTGTGAGGATCAGACCTGCAGTCCAGACACCTGAAGATGTCATGCCATTTAAATGCAAGTCATAACCTATATGACTCATTTGATTAAATTTCTGTAAAAATCCCTGAAGGATTTAAAATGCTTGAAGCATATAATTCAAAGTCGTACTCGATCAAATTTACAAAGATCTTTGTACTGTTTAAAGCAATCTGGGCGCATGTGGTATTATCGCCTCGGTGAATATTTGTTGAAAGAACGTTACGTAAGTGATGTTATTTGTCCATGTATTTTTATAATGAAAATGTCATCAGAATTTGTTATACTTCTTGTTTATGTTGATGACATAAATCTTGTTGGAACTCCAGAAGAGTTGCAAAATGGCAATTGACTATCTTAAGAAAGAATTTGAGATGAAAGATCTTGGAAAGACAAAATTTTATCTTGATTTGCAAATTGAACAATTAGCAGACGAGATCTTTATCCATCAATCTGCCTATACAGAAAGGGTCTTAAAACGCTTTTACATGGACAAAGCGCACCCATTGAGTACACCAATGGTTGTTCGGAAGTGAATAAGGATTTGTTCCGACCTCCAGAAGAGGATGAGGAACTCCTTGGTCCTAAAATACTCTATCTCAGTGCAATTGATGCACTTATGTATCTTGTTAATACTAACAAAGGTGGTGCAGATCGTATTAGTTATGCAGATGCAGGTTATTTATCTGATCCCCATAAGTCTCGATCTCAAACCTGGTATGTGTTTACATGTGGAGGTGTTATCATATCTTGGCGCTCCACAAAGCAATCTATTGTTGCTACTTCTTCAAATCATGCTGAGATAATAGTTATTCATGAAGCAAGTAGGGTAATGCGTATGGTTGAGATCAGTGCTTCATCTTATTCGAGAAAAGTGTGGTTTGGAATATGAGAAAAGACCCACAATTTTGTACGAAGATAATGCTGCATGCATAGCCCAATTGAAGGGAGAATTTATAAAAGGGAATAGAACGAAACACATTTCATCAAAATTATTCTACACACACGATCTTCAGAAAAATGGTGACATTGATGTGCAACAAATCCGTTCAAGTGACAATCCGACAGATTTATTCACTAAATCTTTGCCGACTTCAACTTTTGAGAAGATGGTATAGAAGAGTGGAATGCAGAGACTCAAATATTTAAAACAAGATTTTCATTAGGGGGAGTAAAATATGCGATGTACTCTTTTTTCCTTACTAAGGTTTTTTCCACAGGATTTTTCTTATAAGGTTTTTAATGAGGCACCTAGAAATGAGCATTACAAAATATGTGTACTCTTTTTCTTTCACTAGAATTTTTTCCCACGAGGTTTTTCCTAGTAAGGTTTTAATAAGGCACATTATCTTTTAATGAACATCCAAGGGGGAGTGTTATAAATATATATTATATTATGGATGTTCATTTAGTGCTCCGTTGTAAATAAGCTTCCCGAAGAAGCTTATCCATATGGGACTCCGCCATAAATATGTTTATCTATTTAATACTCTATTGGAAATAAGCCTCCTGAAAAAGGTTATCATTTCGGTACTCCGTTATGGATAAATATTACCCCGGGTAGAAGATTATCTATATCTGGTACAGTAGCAGCTTACAGGCAACTTACATGCAGATTACACAGCAGCTTGCAGCAGCAACTTACAAGCAGCTTACTCAGCAGCCTATACAGCAACTTTCTTTCTTCTATAAATAGAGGAGATTTCAGTTCATTATGTACATAAATTTGAAATTGAATAATATATCAATCTCTTTCTATACTTCTCTTCGATTTATTTACTTTACGGCCTTTATTTTATAACAAATAGTAACTTTACTGAGATTTGCTGGTTGAGAATTTCAAACCTTTTGTAGTCTAGATCAAAGCACATGTGTCTTTTAAACTTGCTTCCTTTTCGTTTAAATCAACTTTTAAGCTGTAGACAACTTTCTTGATACTTACTCACATGATGCATATGGTCATCCACACAATTACTACTTTTGAAATATCTTAAGAAAACGATCCAATCTGATCAACCCCTTTTTCACTTTGAAAATTAAAACAATTAATAAGCGATGAATTAAATGAGTTGGTCTGTGTTTGTTAGGAACCATTATATTTAACTTTAATTATATTAAAGAGATTGAGTAGAGAATAAAGTTATTAACAAAAAAGGTGAAAGTAGATCCTGTAACTTTTCCATGTGATGTTACAAAATGCATTAGAAGTACTTTTCATTTAACATAGTGCATGTACATTTAAATTTTTTGGGAAAATGATACTGTATAGGCGCTCTCAAAATAATCCTAAAAATATATTTTTTTAAATATATTTTTGGTATATATATACATTCTTTATGTTATATACCAAAATTATACAAATTTTATACACTATTTCGATAAATAGTTTCTGGCGCGAGTTAAAAGCGAAAAAAACACTACATTTTTTCCAGAGAAATCTAATACGATGAACTTCCTTCAGAGTTCAGACCATAAAGCTCCGTCCCTGGCTGTCCCATATGCTCCAAAAAAACGTTTCCTTTGCTTGTGAAAGCAAAATTTACCGAAGCAGTTGAAGTGCATATATAGGAAATCTTCGAAAAGTTGTTCTTTTCTTTTGTTTTCTCTCTTTGCTTATCGGCACGGCTCAGTTAGTTTCAGTTACGCATGAGTCAAGACCACGCAAGCAATGATAAGAACATAACGCGGTGACTGTTAATATAATTGACTAATTTGAGGTATGCGCAAGCTGGTTCGAATACCGTAATTTTCTAGTTAAAATATTAACTAGCTCACAATTGGTTACACGGCATGAAAAGGCAAGAATCAGAGTGCGTGTGATGGGCTATTGTGTGTCCTTTTACGAAGATTCAACGTAAGTTGTAACGGCTCACCATCTTCCAGTGATTAATTCTAATATGTAACCATTAAGCTTCCACTTTTTCTCTCCTTAAATTCTCCAACTACGTTCCCTCACTGAAACCATCAATAATATTCTCTTTAATTCTCTGCTCTCTTTACAATCTGAACTTAGCTAGACAGTTCTGTTTTTTCTCTCCTTTAAATAAAATCTAGTGTTACTAAACTCTTCATATACTCCTCTATGGCTAAAGCAATTCTCACACTTTTCTTCCTGCTCTTGTCCTGCTCTTCAGGTTTGAAACACCATTATTCTAGCTAGTAACCGTTTTTCCTGTCGCTAATAGTCATTTTTCCTGTTATTTTTACGATTTAACTTTTTTGTTGAACCAAGTTAAATGTGTAGTCGGTAGCGAAGTCAGGAAATTCAATAATTTGCGAGTGGGCTATGCAAGGGTGTTCAAAGTCTATTTTTTAATCAATAACAAGTACTATTTTACCTTACACGTAGTATAATTTTTCAAGGAAGAGTGTTCAGTTGACCACACTTGGACCAACATAGCTTCGCCCCCTATATGTAGTATCCTCTTCGTTCAAATGATAGTACTAATTAACTGTTTAAATCTTTTCGTTTCAGCGCCGATGTTAACACTAGCGGATGGACAGGTAATTAAGTTAAAAAGTTGAATTAGTTATTGTAGATTAGTACAAGTTAGTTAAGTGATAGACTGGTAATTAATGTGTTTGTACTTTTTGGTTTTGTAGAAGACTTGGTGTGTGGCTAAACCTTCATCAGATAATGCAATTCTTCAACAGAACATAAATTTTGCTTGTTCTAATGTGGACTGCCGCAGTATATTCCAGGAGGGTTGCCCTTGCTTTTCCCCAAACAATTTGATAAACCATGCTTCTATTGCCATGAACCTCTACTACCAAACTAAAGGGAGGAACCCTTGGAATTGCCACTTCGGTAATTCTGCCCTCGTTGTCGTGACCGATCCAAGTAAGTCCTTATTCTGCTCAGTGGCTGATTAATTAAGAAGCATTTTGCGAATTCAACTGGACCTATTACTTATCTCCCTATATATATAATATACAAATATATTATATATAAGGTATAATATATGTATACATATTTATATACATATATGGTAATCGAAAAATAGCTAGCGTTTGTAAAGTCATTAAAAAATAGACACTATTTTATGTGGAGATAAAATCTGAACAAAAATACCCTACCTGAAACACGGAAAGTTCCTGCATAGTATGCTAGATTATGGAACTCCTGCATATACTTCCAACATATTATGTTGGAACTCCCAACACATTATGAAATTCTAGCATATTATGCTGGAATCTCATATGTAAAATATTCGAACTCCAACATATTATGTTGGAGTTCGAATGGATTTTTAAGGGTGTTTTTGTTCAGATTTATTTTTACGTGAAAAAGTGGCTAAATTTTGATTACTTTTGAAACCGTGACTATTTTTCAATTACCAGTGATAAATCATGCTATTTCTGATTTTTGTACTATAATAATGTCACTCATGGATTCGCCTCTGGTTCTGTTTCTCATTTACTTAATTGAGCTTGCATTGCAACCTTATTGTAAATCTATCAATAATTCAATTTTGACTGTGGCAGGTTATGGCAGCTGCACCTATGAGTGAAGTCATGGTTAGGAGGAGCAACCCATGAGGAGATTATCCTAATTTTATTTAAATTTCTTGTTTACCTTTTTTTTTTTGGGGGGGGGGGGGGGGAAGGGTGATCATGCTAAGTTAGCATATTAATAATATGCACTATGTAGTCATTTAATTTATAGCTGTCAATTTTTTCCATATTATGATTACCATTTTGGTCTAGTTTTATCTCCTTTCCGTCATGTTTGGCATCATTCCTTCTTCTTTGGGACCTTAATATTGAAAGTGAAATAGGCCATGGATTTGTCTCCAGCACATAAGATACCATTCACATCTAATTAAACAAATATAGAATATTCACATTCACAAAAATAAATATATTTAAGCTTTAAAATATAATTGAAAAACGGAAGTTTCGTTCCTAACAAGTGTCCAAGTTGTTAATCAGTTTTAATTTAAGGAGAATGAAAACGACGAAGAAGAAAAAAGAACAAGGAAGTTGGTTGCTTCTCCCATCCATGGACTATGCTAGATTCGTAATTTCAAAAAATATTTCTTAGTATTTTAATCAAAGGGAATAAAATTATTGCAAATGTCAGCAGAAAGAAGATCTCGAGATCTCAACTATCGTAACTCCAATGAAAAAAAGTTTCGCTTTTCTCCAAAATATTAAGTGGGCGTTTGGACATAAAAGCTGTGAAATTTCCGGAGAAAATAAATTATTTTTTTCAAGTTGAAAATTGTATTGAAAAGTTGTGTTTGAACATGAATACAATTTAGAGTTATTTTCATTTTTCTGAGTATTTTGAAGTGAAAATTTTGAAAAATAGTTTTTTGAATTTTTTTAAAATTCCGAAAAAAAATTGAAATTCATCTTTAAGCGAAATTTAAAATTTTCATAATCAAACACTGATTTCAAAAAAAAATAAAATAAAAATCAATTTTTTTTTATGGCCAACCGGGCCCTAACTACCAAACGTATGACGACCCCATGACTCTAACTAAAATATGTAGTATAGCATTTTAAAGATTGAATGAGAGAACATAGAGATGTCCCCTCTAATAATCAATAGGCCAATTATTATTAAGATTAATTAAAGATCTAGTAACCTAAAAGGGATAGAGACACGTGAAGAAACAGTTGAATGCTAGTGAATGCAAAAAGGCAACAAGAGGAAAGTATTGACTAGTTGAGTAATAAAAATGAGAGGTCATAAGCTTGTTTTATAATCGTCTGATGTGTCGAGTTATCTTCAACTCATAGTTCCTAGTTTGTTTCGGTCAACGTGTTTAAGAAATAACTTCCTTTTTCTTTTAAAGAATATAATGCCGGGTTGTAGTACTGTATACGGTCAAAATCAGAGGCCTCCAATTTATAGGCTCGAAGGTCCATCCTGGGCTCAAGTCCGGCAAGGTCGAGTTCGAGCCCGGTTAACCAGATTCGAGTTCGAAGACAGAGCACAACATCTGTCGGGGTCGAGTATGCTCGACCCCGAAATAGTACCGTTATAGACTTGTAACAGAATGGGCTAGACTCTTGCCACGTCCCCATGATCATGGCGCAAGTCCCGGAATATGATTGTACGATTCCGTACTAGGCGGTTAGACAACTGTATCGGGAATATTCCCTACTGTAAATAGAAATATTCCATATTTAGGATTCTCCTATTATATAAAGGGGACCCCAATCATTTGTAACATCATCTAATCATTGAGAAAAGAATATACTCTCTACCTTTTCGCCTACTGTTCATCAGCATTGTCCTTTAGCTCAATTGTTCTTACTTTACTTTTCTTGCTTAATTGTTCTTATTGTTCTAAGCCCACCTCGAGGTCACTAAGCTCCAGGTCACTACTGCAGAGTAACATTGGTTTGATTCAGTTCTATCTTTCATCTCTACCTCATATTTTTTGATTATTAATTGGTATTGATATAAATCACATATCTTTAAAACCACAAATCAAATTTAATTGTTACTCGTATATTTTGAGGTAAACAGTTTGGCGCCCACCGTGGGGCTAAAGATAATAGTGATTATTTCTTTACTGATTCCCGTTACACACGTTATTTTTACACTTTTTTCTTGTCAAGATTTTTTGATTCTTAGGCTGAAACATGTCTAGCTCACAAAACGCACCCATTCATGACAATGAAGGTCTTGGAGAAAACAACAACCCAGGGGTCGGTGTACCACCGATAAACCCATGGGAAGTGCCAAATATGGAACCAGTTGATGTTAGTTCGCACATCGCTTTGAATGCAGATCTAGGCGCGGACCCCGAAGGAAATATACACAGGGAAGCCCGATCCTGTGGCCAAAGAACACAAGGAATGGGAGATGGGGGAGTCAGCCTCCAAGTGATATTCGAGATGCTGCAAGCTCAGCAAATCGCCATCGTTTTAGAGTCAGAATAAAACTCCAAATACAGCCGAACCAGTAAACACTCGGCGTGCTGAACCAGCACTAGAAAGACCCGATGAAAGTGGCTCGGGGACTGACCCCATGATTTTGAGGATGCTCGAAGAACTCTCCAGGAGAATCGAGTCCGGGGAGAAAAAGATTGAGGATAATGACAAAAAAGTGGAAACATATAACTCCCGTGTTGATCAAATCCCAGGGGCACCACCAATATTGGAAGGGCTAGATTCTAAAAAGTTCGTGCAAAGACCTTTCCCCCCTAGTGCGGCTCCGAAGCCAATCCCTAAGAGGTTCCGTATGCCCGAGATTCTCAAGTATAATGGGACGACCGATCCGTATGAACACGTCACCTCGTATACGTGCGCCATCAAAGGAAATGATTTAGGAGATGGTGAAATTTAATCCGTAGTATTGAAAAAATTCGGAGAGACTCTATCGAAGGGTGCCTTAATTTGGTATCATAACTTACCCCCTAATTCTATTGATTCGTTTGCTATGCTTGCAGATTCTTTTGTAAAGGCACACGCCGGAGCCCTCAAAATTGCAACAAGGAAATCGAACCTTTTCAAGGTAAGGCAGAAAGATAACGAGATGCTCAGGGAATTCGTGTCTCAGTACCAAACGGAGAGAGTAGATTTGCCCCCGGTCTCTGATGACTGGGTTGTTCAAGCTTTCAACCAAGGTCTATACTTGGAGGGCTATAGCTTCGCAGCAGTTGAAGCAAAGTTTAATCGAGTATTCGGCTGTCACTTGGGCAGACGTACAAAATCGGTATCAGTCGAAGATTAGGGTCGAGGATGATCAACTGGACTCCTTCGGGGTCCGTTTATTCTAACAGGCCCATGGATAGGGTCAAAAGGGACATTGATCGAGAGCCGAGATTGATATCAACCAAATAACGGATATCGTAGGAGCATCGGATCTGGGCGAAGCTTCGCACGAAATGAACGAGGTCAAAATTCATGAGGACTCGATGCCGAGGAAGATCACATCGAATATCCAAAATCCGAATGAAGGTACGACCCCACCTTTTCTATTGTTTGACTAACGCTTGTAGGTTATCGGTGAGGATCGGCAGGAAGCTATGGGTCTTAAAGCACGCGTTGCACTCTTTTTCCCTTAGACTGGGTTTTATCCCAAATGGGTTTTTCCAGCAAGTTTTTTAACGAGGCAACCATTGATCGTGCTAACTTAGAGCAAGTCAACAGTATCCAAAGTTCCCTACAATAAACCTCGAGTATCGGGGGGCATTACCCTCGAATGACTACTTTGTGGCGAGGAGATTACTTCATGACGGCGGGGCCTCGAAAAGAAAATGTTGCAAGGGTCAAATGGTCAGATGAACCGTACCTATATAGGTTACTCGAGCCCCAAACATCAAACATGCGCTCATGTATAATCATCCATTGAGAGAAGTAATTTTCCTTGATACCCCATGCCTTTAGAGAAATTTCATATTTTATACTCCCGATCTATTGTGTAAACAGGCTTAAGGGCCGACCATGACAAAATTTTGAACAACCAACCCCATGCTCGAGGACTGTCGTCCCAAAAGCAAACGGAATCAAACTGCTAACATTTCGAGATCATAAGACCTTAAAGGCAATCCTCGACTTTACGGGCCACGGCCACCCCATCCGGGACTGACATTTCGGGCAAGCTTGAAGTGAAATGGAAGATAAGCCCAAAGGGAAAGTTCCTGACTAAAAAGGCTATGGCCAGATTAACGCGGATCGGACACACCTGAAATCCGTAACAGATATGAAAGCCCAAAGGCTATCTTAACCTAAACGGAAGCATATCTCGAACACTAGGGGACTACCTACCCGAGCTATCTAAACAATAAGACCTCAAGATGCACCCCCGATATACAGGCCAAGGCCATCACATTCGGGGATTAACATTTCGAACAAGTTCCAAATGTTATCAGGAAACAAGCCCAAAAGACATACCCGAAGGCTACGACCATATTAAAGACTACGGTCATGTAAAAAGGCTACGACCGAAATAATGCGGCTCGGAGACGTCCTACTTCCGCCATAAATTATAGGCCTTCAAATACTTTGAAAAACCGGTTAGTATCGGCTACCCTCGACAAAAGCAAAAAAGGCTTCGATAAAATCAGCCCTCGAATAATTTAAAGGCTTCGATGATTTCAGCCTTCGAAAAAACCTCAAGAGGTATTCGATTACCATTACACAAACAAGTTACTAATAAGGTTCGATACGTCGAACCCTCGAAAAACCCAACGGGTACAAAAAACACATGCTAAGGCATACAAAAATTTTTACTAAGTCTTTTAGCCGAAAAGAGGGAAAAATTATAGCCACTTTAGAGGCCGAATTGGCCCGACTTAAAGAGCCTAAGGTCCAACCAAAAGAGCCTAAAGGCCAATATAAAAGAGCCTAAGGGCTGATCTAAAAGAGCCTAAGGGCCAATGTAAAAAAGCCTAAGGGCTAACTTTACTTCGAGTTCGAGCAAATCCTCACTCGACTATACAGCCCACGGGCTATCTTAACCCGAGTTCGAGCAAACTCTCACTCGAGGACTATCTATAAAGCCTAAGGGCTAACTTTACTTCGAGTTCGAGCAAATCCTCACTCGACTATACAGCCCACGGGCTATCTTAATCCGAGTTCGAGCAAACTCTCACTCGAGGACTATCTATAAGGCTAAGGGCTAACTTTACTTCGAGTTCGAGCAAATCCTCACTCGACTATACAGCCCATGGGCTATCTTAACCCGAGTTCGAGAAAACTCTCACTCGGGGACTATCGA